GGTTTCACTCAGCCAATATATATCATTCACAATTTATTAATGAATTTTACAAAAAAACACCATAAATTTTATATTTAAACATGTAAAAACTATTTGTTTTACATTTGGAAGAAAATAATTGTAGAAAAACAATTTATAATTAAACCTTTGTGTTTGGATTTTTTGACTAAAAGTTTCTCAAAGGCTCTCCTGCACCATTCTCAATGCAAATCATTCCCACACCTATGGGAAGAGATAGGCGAACGTTGTGTAGATGATTTGTGTTTGCTGGGTACGGCCCGAGCGGTTTGCTACTGACCCAAACTCCATCACCGCCGCTCAAGAATGGCGTCACTGGCTCAAGACGTTCCAAAACTTTACTCTGGCAGTAGAAGAAGATACTCCCACTGTGGACAAGCTGCGTCTCTTAATAAACTGTTACTCCATGTATGTTCGACTACATAGCTGACTGCACTACGTATGACGCGGCTGAAAAATCCCTAACAGAACTGTTTGTGAAGCCCAAGAATGAAGTATTCACAAGGTATGTGCTTGCAACACGACACCAAGAACCAGGTGAGTCGTTTAACCAATTTCTTCAGGCATTAAAGTTATTAGCTGAAGATTGCCAGTTCAAAGCAGTGACTGCTGTAGAAGCCATTGATAACTATGTGAGAGATGCTTTCATTAATGGGCTAGGTTCTGCCACAATAAGGCAGCTCTTACTTGAAAATAAAACTTTAGACTTACAGTCAGCCTTTGACCAGGCTCACACTCTAGAAACGGCAAACGGATTGAAACAAGATATTGCTGAGGCGGTGGTTCGAGCAATCGACCCAACAGCTCCTTTCGCTGTGGAAACCAATGCTTCAGATCATGCTATTGCCGCTACCCTAACCCAGAATGAACAACCAGTAACTTTCTTCTCCCGAACACTTTCAAATAGTGAACAAAGGCACTCATCGGTGGAGGAGGAAGCTTATGCCATTGTTGAAGCCCGAAGGAAGTGGCGACACTATCTCATTGGCCGCCATTTTCGGCTTGTGACTGACCAGCGCAGTGTTGCTTTTATGTTTAACTCTAAATCAGCTGGTAAGATTAACAATGATAAAATTGGTAGATGGCGAGTCGAACTCTCCTGTCACCACTATGACACTGTATATCGCCCAGGGAAAAAGAACATCCCCGCTGATGCATTTTCACGTGTATGTGGCGCCACCAGTGTGGATGAACTACAGGAATTACATGACAATCTGTGTCACCCTGGAGTGTCTCGTGTGGCTCATTTTGTCCGACGTCGAAATCTGCCTTATTCTGTGGAAGAAGTGAAGAAAATGACTAATTCCTGCTCTGCATGCTCTGAACTTAAACCTCAGTTTTGCAAGTTTGACTCTGGGCATTTGATTAAAGCTACTCAGCCATTTGAAAGACTCAACATAGATTTTTAAAGGACCACTTCCATCACATTCAAGGAATAAATATATTCTTACAGTTGTAGATGAATTCTCTAGATTCCCATTTTGCGTTCCCTTATTCAGATATGACTACTGGTACAGTAATTCAGTGCCTGGTGCAGTTTTTGCAATCTTTGGTATGCCTGCATATATACATTCTGATAGGGGAATTTCCTTTATGTCTGAGGAGTTGAAAAGCTTTCTACTCAAAAAGTGGGTAGCAACTAGCCGTACGACTCCTTACAATCCTAGAGGAAATGGCCAGGCTGAGAAGTACAATGGGATTATTTGGAAGACAGTGCTGCTAGCTCTTAGGACGAGAGGCTTAGATGTATCCCAATGGGAAGTTGTTCTTCCTGATGCTCTGCACTCTATTCAATCACTGTTGTGCACCTCTACAAATTGTACACCACATGAACGATTCTTCCGGCATACAAGAAGGTCTACTTCAGGGCGAACTCTACCAACGTGGCTTGCTTGCAAAGGTCCTCCTAAAACGTCAAGTGCGGCAAAGCAAAAATGATCCTCTAGTTGATGAGGTTGAGGTCGTAGACGTGAATCCGGAATACGCCCATGTCAAGTTCCCAGATGACAAGATTACCACTGTATCATTAAGACACCTCGCACCCATGGCCACTGAGAGCTGCGAGAGTTTGGACCCCAATCTCAACATTCAACAGCAACACCCAGCGATTGCGAAAGATGGGGTAAACCCCAACCCGCCTCATCCTGAACTACTTCGTCCCGAACCACCTAACCTAGAAACGCCTAATTGGAAACCTTTCTCTGACGTAACACTCCCTCGAGAAGGTGGTATGCAGGAACCGACTGGAACACTAGAGGCTTCAACTTTGCAGGAGTCCCTTCGACGATCTGGTAGGACGCGCAGTACCCCTACACATCTGCAGGACTATGTTACTTAAAGCTAGATGGGGTGAATGTAGTAAAAGTGTTAAATATTATCGTACCGGATGGATGCTCGCTTGACTTGTTTGTATCGTCAGATCAGCTGTGTCGTGCTTATGTATAGGTTTGTGTAATGTTAATTTCTAGTTTAATTTCTGTATATTCTGGCTTTAGTCATGTGCAGTTTGCTTATTGTTATAGTGAATAGACAGTGCTTAAACTGTGTATAAGTATAGTGTATTAATGACTTGTGTTATTGCAAGATATAACTGTACTGTAATTATTTGATCAATAAAGCCACATGTCTGGCGACGCTTCTCATTCACCTCAACATGCCTTATGTATCATTAGGTATTATGTATATATACATGAATTATGCATCACTAGCATATATATCTATCAATAGGGTGTTAAGTGCAGTAGCTTACTCTCACTTGATTAAGATTGCTATACTTTGTATTGTGAGGATATATACTCATAAGAAGGGTTTTGAGAGAGTATATGCATATTATATTTGACTTGTATTATTGTATAAATATTTATTGATAAATATTGCTGTAGGAGTGTTAACAGTTGACTTGACTTAATTCTTTTGAATCCTACATCCCCCCCCCCCAACCCCCTCCACTTTTGCTTGCCGTCTGAGATTAAGTATTACTAAGTCTAGGAGATGGGAATTCTTTATTTGTATCTTTATATATTATTATATTTTCCATTGTGTGCCTATATATTTATATTATTTATATTATGAGTTACATATCATGTCACTCATTAGTTCTGTATATGCTCAAGGCCCAAATTACATTGTAAAATCTTGTGATATAAGTTATAATGTTTGAAAAGAACTGACGGTTAGGTTTGCAGTGTTGGCACAATAGCGCCACGGCTTGGCGCCCGGCGCCAGCACCTACTGGTCTGAGGTCAACGGTTGAGGGCAGGCGCGCTCGGCCCGACTCCATTTCCTTTGGTGTAATTATTGGTCTACGGACGTTGTGAGCCTTTAATGCCTACCCGACAGTACTATATGGCGATGGATCACGACTACCCAGGGCGTACATCTTCGTTTTGGAGCATTTGTGTAAACAGTTGGTAGGTGACCTTATTTTGTATAAGCAGTTTTATGAATCTGCATGGATACACCTTTGCTCATCCTTCATTGGATCATTGGATGTAGAGTGGTGCGTAGCTCAGGACTTTACTGTGATTTTGAGTGTTCTGATTGAGACTGACTCCTCCTTCACTAAACCTTTTATGTGTCACCTCCATACTGTGTTCAAGACCTTGCGCATACTAGAGCTAGTGTACCACTGCCATAGGAAGGGGCCAAGTGTCAGCAAGTCCTTTAATTAATGCTACTGTGTGTACTATTAGTATGATCCTGATGAGCTTGACGAACACTATTTTGATATAATTCTTGAGGAACAGTTGATATACCTTTATACATTATGTATTACTGTGTCATTCATAGATATGCCCCAGTAAACTGGTGATTTTTATTTACTTTTCCCAACCCTAGAAAAATATTATTGTAGGCCAAGTGGCTTTATTGTGATTTAGGGAAGGTTCAACGTCGCCAGCGATGCTGTGAAAAATGCATATACGACAGATTTGGATAATGATTTTGGGTGGGACGGCGGTAAGGAATGGTCCTCAAACGCTTGGACGGTCGGGGATTGAATGCCGACCTGCATGAAGCGAGACCGTCGCTATACTGTCCAGCCCAAGTCGTTGGAAACTCCAGCAGCAGTGGGTGAGGCTCTCCTCCAGCAGGGTGAGGTTCTCCTCCAGCTGGGTGAGGTTCTCCTCCAGCAGGGTGAGGTTCTCCTCCAGCTGGGTGAGGTTCTCCTCCAGCTGGGTGAGGTTCTCCTCCAGCAGGGTGAGGTTCTCCTCCAGCAGGGTGAGGTTCTCCTCCAGCAGGGTGAGGTTCTCCTCCAGCAGGGTGAGGTTCTCCTCCAGCAGGGTGAGGTTCTCCCCCAGCAGGGTGAGGAAGGTGTTACTGAGGCGAGGAGCAGCAGTGGGCGAGGTTCTCCCCCAGCAGGGTGAGGAAGGTGTTACTGAGGCGAGGAGCAGCAGTGGGCGAGGTTCTCCCCCAGCAGGGTGAGGAAGGTGTTACTGAGGCGAGGAGCAGCAGTGGGCGAGGTTCTCCCCCAGCAGGGTGAGGAAGGTGTTACTGAGGCGAGGAGCAGCAGTGGGCGAGGTTCTCCACCAGCAGGGTGAGGAAGGTGTTACTGAGGCGAGGAGCAGCAGTGGGCGAGGTTCTCCACCAGCAGGGTGAGGAAGGTGTTACTGAGGCGAGGAGCAGCAGTGGGCGAGGTTCTCCACCAGCAGGGTGAGGAAGGTGTTACTGAGGCGAGGAGCAGCAGTGGGCGAGGTTCTCCCCCAGCAGGGTGAGGAAGGTGTTACTGAGGCGAGGAGCAGCAGTGGGCGAGGTTCTCCCCCAGCAGGGTGAGGAAGGTGTTACTGAGGCGAGGAGCAGCAGTGGGCGAGGTTCTCCCCCAGCAGGGTGAGGAAGGTGTTACTGAGGCGAGGAGCAGCAGTGGGCGAGGTTCTCCCCCAGCAGGGTGAGGAAGGTGTTACTGAGGCGAGGAGCAGCAGTGGGCGAGGTTCTCCACCAGCAGGGTGAGGAAGGTGTTACTGAGGCGAGGAGCAGCAGTGGGTGAGGTTCTCCCCCAGCAGGGTGAGGAAGGTGTTACTGAGGCGAGGAGCAGCAGTGGGCGAGGTTCTCCACCAGCAGGGTGAGGAAGGCGACGCAGGAGCCCACCAGCAACATGTAGAAGGCTCCCTGCAGATGGTTGAGGCTCAACACCACCTGCTGCCCGTCATCCTGATATCAAGAATAGAATTACGATTCATTAGGAATGATCAAGTATAGTCCTATAAACACGAAACTTTGATATTTCTTGACAGTTTTATTACATCAATTGATACTTACGTATAATGACTCCCTGAGGATGATCTTGTGGTCCAGCCTGGCAGCTCTCGTCTCCTGCACCCGCTTGGCTATTACGTCTTGATGCCAATAGCTAATGATACCAGCAGCTTCCAGGCGGGTCATCAATTGTTTGAATCGCTTGTGAAACGGTGCACCTTTTCTGTTTAACAGAAACGGAGAGATTTTAATGGTAGGTTTACTTATCATAAATTATTTATTAGTCAACAGATGACTATTGTAGCTGTTTTATGACATGAAAAATTGCAATATTCAGACTTAAATTACTAATTTATGTATAAATAAAAGGAAGATTTAAATATTTCCAAAGCAAACCTGACGCAACTCTTTAGCCTGATATGACATGAAAAGCAAACAATTTGTTGTGACTTAACGTTAAAATATGGATTCGAACCATCACAAACTCTGATGTAACGGAGAACGTAGAACAATTAATTTCAAAATTATTGCTTTCTCATTACAACAATTTGGTAAGCATGTAACTTTTGCGAACAAATACAGTTTCATAATTAAAATGAAGAAATCTCACCTGATACACCACCCAAATGTAGCGAACAACTGAATGTCGTTGCTGATGTAGAGGGGAGTGTTGCCCCGGGCGGCCGTGTAGCTGGTTGCCACGATGACGGCAACGTAGTTTTTGAAACTTATGAAGGAGAATCCCCCGGCCAGCACCTTCTTCAGCGCCTCCTCCACCGGCATCTTCTAGTGAACACAGCGTGTCCAAACACACTCTTTAGTCTCATTTGTTAATGAAGTTTTGAGGAGTGTTATGGAACGTTATAAATATTGAACCAAGAAATTACTTCTTCAATTATAAAACTACCGAGAGCTGAAAGACAACTTGTTATAAACTCAGTATATTATGACGTATGATTTCCTTAACAAAAGTATAGTGCAACAGTGAAAATGTTTAACATCTGATACATCAATGCTGAGTGACTGTAAGGCAAAACAAAATGAGGTAAAAAAAAAAAAGACAGTGCAGATAAACCCTTATGGAACAGAAGTTTGGGAGAACAAACTAACTTGAATGATCACAGATGCAATAGTTACAGAGAATATCAGGTAATCCAAGGAAAAAGAATGTAGACTGGCAGAGTTTTGGGCTATTAGTATAGGAAATTGGAAGTGTGAATAAAGCTCTTCCGTGGACGTAGGCAACTACAAGCGATGTAATGTAGGAATTATTTCAGGTGAAAGAGATTAAATTTATGCGGCTCTGATCCACAACCTCTAGAAAAAACAGAAAGCCGAGGCATAAATACAAAATAGAAATGAAACATTAGTAATCGAATACTTCAATTATGTGTAAATTGACTAGGAATCAATGAACTCGAATAAAGAAGAAAAGATTTAGAGAGTAAAGGTTGTGGAATGATAGGAACGAACTTCTTGGTGTGGCATATCAGACAGACAACAAAGGGAAGACAAGGTGATCAACCAGTTAACCTAATACTTTTTTCACACAAAATGAGGTGGAAATTGAGACCAATAGTCAGAAATTACTCAAACAGGGCCAGGTGATCACGGTGTTGCATTCCTCTACATCTTGAGGCAATGAAGGCAATCTTTAAACAGAAGAACAGGAGAAAATGGATGGCTAGCGTATCATTAATGGGAATACAAGAGGGTTAGAGAATTTGAAAAATATCATTAAAAACATTACGATGAACATCAATATAAGACATAAAGGTTTACATACCACGCAACGAGATAAAGAAAAACAAACAAAGTTTTTGCCAGGGTTAAGAAGAGCTTAGTCAACTCTTGTCTGCGCATATTTAATACATTAATCGAATCGATCAGAGTACTAAACGTGGGGAGGGTTGCAATTAAGTGCCGATTTTTAAGAAGAGAGATAGATCACTTGGGTCGGACTACCGGAAAGTTAGCTTAACGTTTATTGTCTTTTGCCAAATACATTAATTTTTACATCTTGATCAACTTCAATTCTTTACTATCAGAGAGAATTTATGTCGGTCTGTCTGTTCGAAGTTGGAGGCCACACGGTTGTGGCTGGACTCACCCAAATTGGCAGAGGGAATGGTCCCAGGCACGGGATGAACATAGGCCGGACGGGGATCTCAAGAATTCCAAAGGAAATAGCATGCCAGGGTCACATTCAGACTCTCCACGACCATTTTTGCACTGCCCGCTAGCCACACAGCTAAATATTTTCAAAACAAACTTAAAAAACTTATAGTAATGGGCGTAACTATATTCACTGATCTCGGGAAAAATGAGAGAAATGTCCTACTATCAATAATTTGCCCCGAATACTCTCACAAAACAGACGATTCTTCCACAGTTTCAAAGATTTGTTAAGCCACAGTCCTTTATCAGAATTAGGGGGTAACTATTCTTTTTTTTAGTCTTTAACACCAGTAAGATCCTCTCACTGACGACCACGCACATATTAGACAATTTTATTTATTTACAAGAGACAGACAGACAAAAAAGACCGAGACAGACAACGTAGACAGAGACAATGGCAGAGATAAAGACGGAATGAGACAGAGAAAGAGAGAAACATGCAGAGATAAACAGATGAAGCGGCAAATAAACTGAGGCAGAGATACAGAAACAGACAGGAGATAACGTGATAGATTGATGGATGGATAGTAAGGACGGTCTGTGATGCTGGTAGTCAAGATAGCAGAATCTCCTGGATGAAGCGTTCTAGGATCTCCTCCTCCGTCGGAAATCTCACTTGCACTGAGATTATACCAAATCTGAGATTATCTGAGATTATCTCATCTGGACTGGTTTATACAAAAAGCTGTATAAGCTGGAATTCGAGAGGGCTCCCACGACTCTAACTTCTTTATCACCAGCTTGTCCACCTCAATGACGGTGACACCAGCTGGAACAGTGATACGGTGAAGCCTGACTGTCATGGCACGTAAGCTGCAGCAGGACACAGGAGACTCTGTAAGTGTGGGACATTTGGGGCTTGAATCTAATTATTTAAATATTAATGTAGTAAATTAAATTACGAAGGACCACCCGCTTTTATAGTAAAGAGGGAAACTGAGAATTTCTGATCATTAGATAATTCCTAGATGAACCAGTAACTATGGATAAAATACTAGAGAATATGATCCTAGAAATAATTAATGGGCTGTATAATTAAATGAATCAAACCCTCAAACACCTACATTGGGGGGTTATTACTGGAAGTCAGTACGTCCAGGAACTAGTGTGGTTCTTTCACTAATCCAAATTATAATAATCTAATCCTATGAATTATAGTGAAAATAATGTCATTACCATGAATGGGAACATAGATTATAAGTATAATAATGATAGTCACAATAAACACATGTTAATCCTGAGGAATTCTGCATATAAGTAATTCAGAAAGTTCATGAATGAATACAAAGAATCTTAGCTTAAAGACGATTCCTTTATGTAAGTCACGACGCTTCCTCTAATTCCCTGGGCTCGGCTGGCTGACGAATGGGATGGATTAACATGGGAGAAGGCGGCAGGGAGAATTCTTCTCACGTGCTGCAAGACAAATATTTACAGTAGCAACTAATTAAACTACTGAATCTCTATATTCAAGAATTTAAGAGTTACAGGTGATAATAAGCAATCACCTGTGGTTTGGTGTTATCATGCATCGTCACAGTCAATCACCCAGCTACTACACTACACTTTACCAGATGCATCAAATAAAGATAAGATACTTAGCTAATATGGGCACTGTATAAGTTTTAAGATTGCCGAAATTCGCGTCCCCAGGCTCTGGCGTCAGCCTATCCTGGATAATAGCGCGCTTCACTGGCTGGTCACGTGTAGTCAAGAACCAGATTAAAAAGGTTCCTTAAGTTACACCAGCACCAGTTGAAGATATTATCTGCAAGGTTGTTCACGCCTCACAGTGGCGACTTTCATCTGAGGATGGATAACGTCTACCCTGATGGCTGGGCTATGGCGTCTCCTCGTGAGTACGATACGGGTAGGTCTGCCTCAGAGCTTCTCTCCACGTGTACTGGCAAGCCTCCTCTACCCACGCCGCGTCCCGCGTTCATTAGACAAATTATTGTCATGAATATTAGTATTTCTCGCATTTATGCTTGAAATGTTGGAGACTGGATGGGTTTATTATTTAGAAGAGGGAAATATTATTATTTGCCAATTTAGTGATAGTAAACATATAAGGGAGAGGAATTAATGTCTCCCCATGGCATTCACTCGTGACGTTAACTTTTATTACTCGATAATCGCTATGACTCCAACGCTCTATTCGGCTCTTAGTTGGAAGTCAGTTTATCTGTAATTAGTTATCATACAGAATGCCTTGGTTATAGAGAATCGAATTTAATTCTCAGATACATTGGATATAATGTGTTTATTGTAATAAATCTGACGCAATACCGGCGTCGGATGACGTGAGAATTCTAGCCTACTGCACAGATGAAATTATTAGTACATGAGAATTCTACGTGGTGTTAATTTTACTTACTACAATAATTAGTAGAGTTAGTAATAAGTAATGAGAATACAACAGTGTTGGATTCGGTGTTGGAAATTTCGAACAGTGAGGACTGCAGCCACAATGAGGGTACTCCATTATGGTGCTTCCGCTATGGCGGAAATGAAAGGGTCGCACATTTGCTTATATTTAAAGTCTCTCTCCACTCAGGAACAGCGTACGGCTCCAAGACATGCATGCAACAAACATACTTTATCACAAGAATGAAAGGCAATAGCGCACTAATCAATGAAAATAATAATCCATTATTTTGAAAACTCAAGGAAATTAATATTTCGGTCCCAATCCGAATATTTCGGTCCTGCTGAAGAGGGCCCCGGTTTGGGACCAAAATGTTTAGCCAACGTTTCCTTGTATTTTAAAATTAAAATGAATTTCCCAGTTGAGCTGCTATCAAAGTGCAGGCCGAACAGCCCAAATGAACTTAACCAGTATCACGTCGCCCACCAAGCATTAATGTTATGTTAGTAGGTTTAGTAGAACGGGGAATAAGAACAAGACACTTTTAGCTACTGAAAACTTTCAACCCCACAGCATCCCAAAGCGTTGGACACACTCAAACGCAGCTTGAACTCTCCATGCTGAAACTTGCACATTGGAAGAGGCATGAACCAACGTACAATCATCGGTGTACAATGATTATTTAAGATTTCTAGGAATGGAAACAGGAGCTGGAATATCATTAACCATATCGAATCGGGCAGCATTTGAAGCCCAACAAAGTTGGGCTTCAAATGCTGCCCTGTGGCACCCCACTTTCCTGAATAAATATGTCTGAGGCCACGTTATGTAAATGAAGAACAGAGACGGTTATATCCGTTAAAATGTTAGTTAGCAACGAAAGCGGATAGACGATCTCCTAAATCACAACATGGGGTTTAAACAGTATTCCCATTAGCAAGGCCATGTCAGAGGCTTTTTCACTATCGGGAAATGTAGCAGGAAGGGCCTGTTGGGTAGTAAAGGCTCGCAGTGTATCATTCTAATTGATTCAAGGCGTCATTAGTAATTTTAACGTGTAAGGCTTCGTTGACTGGTTTGATGTCAGAGCTAACCTAGGCACCATGATTATAGACCCAAAATTCTACAATACCAAATATATATCCCCTAAAAACACATTCATTTTTAATAACTATACGTCATATAGTTATTAAAAACAAACAAGGCAGAGTGATACTAATGTTGACTTTTGTCTCGAAAC